GAGTCCCGCATCGGGCTCCCTGCTCCGCAGGAAGCCTGCTTCTCCCTCTGCCTCTCTCTGTCTCTCATGAATAAAAAAAAAAAAAAAAAAAAAAAGGTAGAAAAATTCCCTGTATTTACATTCCAGTTTGGTCACTTATGTGCTGTATGACACTGGCAAGTGACCCAACCTCTCAGCTTCAGTTTCCTCATCTATACAGTAAAGGAAATAGGACTGAGCTCTCAGGTCATGCATTCCATGAGATGACTATGCAAAGGGCCTTGTAGTCCATGCAGGGCCCAGGTACTGGAGGAAGGGGTGGAGGGATGCACCAACAAGATCTCAGGCCTCCTGCCGCCTCCTTTCCCAGCGATTCCCAGGCTGGGCTGCACAGAGCTCAGCCCAGTTCCCAGAGCTCCCCAGGCAGATGGCTTTCTGTGGTCTGAGCTCTGAGGACAGACAGGGGCCATGCCAACAGAGGGCAGCCCAACTCTGTACAGTCTTATCTGCTCACAAAGATAGATGGGACAGCCCACAGACCGGGCAGCAAGTCCTCGGTGTCCTGTCTAACTTGGAGACCGGAGACTCAGGAACGCACGACTCACGTAGCACACAGCTGCCAACTCCTGACGCAAGGCTCCACTTTCCAAAGTAGAGGAGGATGATGCCTTCTGAGGGTTGACTCCATTGTCATAAACGGTGAACTTAGTGCCCATGAGGTTGGACCTGAAGGACAGGCAATCAACAGAGGATCATGCACCCTCTGCCTTAGGGCAGGGAGCAGCTCAGTCTGTCCCATGAGGAGCCTGCGAGCATTCTGGGTTGGGCCAGGAGCAGACCTGGGAGCACACTGCACACTGAATCCCCACCTCTGAAGGTCCTTCATGGGGAGAAGGCCTGGACTCGCTCTGAATAGAATCAAAGGGCATCTTAGTTGAGTGAGGGAAATCCCAGGAGGTAAGTCTCAGTTCCACAGGTTTCCCTGGAGGAGCAGGAGTGCTCCCCTCATGGGAGGCAAGCAAGCAGATGGCATCTGGCAAGACTGCAAAAGGCACTCAACATCCCACGGAGAGTGGATGACACAACCCCCTCTCTCCTGTCCAGCCTGTTGAGTGTTGGTCTAGCCCCATCTCCAGCATTAGTTCCTCACCTCTAAGCTTGATTTATACTCCCCCAATCTGGCACTCTGTTCCTTGGCAAACACTCCCCTAGCTCTGAGGCCTAGCTCAGAGCCTTCCCCCGACCCCAAGGTTGTGCTCTCTTCCCTCAAGGGCTCACTCACAGCCGTGCCCTCTGGCACTGAGCATGGGGCCAAGGCAATTCTTCCAGGGTGGCCCACATCTTCAGTGGCTTCCTGAGGTCTGACCTGTCCCTCTTGATGGGCCTATGCCCCAGCGACCTGGGAGCAGCTTAGGGTAGGGTATGGGAGCTCCATCTCCGAGTCTGGCTCTAGGCTGGCACAGGCCCGGGCCTATGGCTGGAGCTGACGGACAAAGAGGATTCTAGGAGAGGATCTGACCCCTGCCCTAGATCTCCCCCAGGGACAAGACACGCCCACTCCAGTCTGGCCCTGCCCCTCCCTCCCAGCCCCACCTGCTTCCTAGGGGAGTGCTAGTACCGCAGTTTCCCGATGTAGCTGTCCCCTCCTCGAGACAAGTCTGTTGGGTCCACAGAGATGAGGTAATTGGAAGTTTTACTCTTCTTTCTCTTCCTTCCCGCCAAAAGGAACACCTTGGGGAATGGAGCAAGGTCACTTTCCAGGCCCAGCCTCTGGTCACAACCGTGGGTGTGACTCACACACACACACACACCAGCAAACACAAAGGTACGCACTGACCGGGCACGGAGGCTTCTATCCCTTGGGGGAACGGAAAGCTCAGTGTTGGACCTGAGGCTTCCAGTCACATTCCAGCCCATAGGACCTCAAGCCTGCCTCAGGGAAACTGCAAGTTCGGGCCAACCTCACCTTCTTCCCATCCTCGCGGTCCAGGTGCAAGAAGTAGGTGGGGTACATGCCCCGGTCCATCCCCTTCTTGTCCCGCGTGATGCGGCACTTGATGGTGATACCCTGGGGGGCTGGCCTCAGTGCAAACTCCTCAAGATCCTGGACCTCGACATCCGCCGAGGGTCCCGGGGCTGTCGGGCTGGGGGCCGAGGCTGCCTCCTACAGGGGACACAGTAGGAGCCCGAGCCCCAGAGACCCTGAGCAGCTGCAACTGGTGGTCTGGGATCCAAAGCTGCCCCCTGATGTGGTGGTGGTGGTGGGAACTGGGGCAGGGTCCCTGGGATGTGGGCCCGGCCATCCCGGCCCTGGGGTCAGCAGCTAGCTCCTCAGCCCTTCCCCCACCTCAGCCGTCCCCAGGGCGGGGGGAGATGGAGGATGTGGGCAGGTTCTCAGGGCCATCCCTTCCAACTCGAGCCCCCCACTCCTGGCCTGGCTGAAGAGAAGAGGAAGCAGGAGAGGACAGAAGAGCCCTGGCCAGAAAAGCTCCTGCTCGGTTTCTAGGCCCAGTCCCAAGAGAGCCAACTCTCCATTTCTTCACACGCAGACCTCTGGAGACCCCGCCCACCCCCCACTCCGGGCGGGGGAAGCACCTCACCCTGACGGACTTCCCGCTAGTAGCAGAGCTGGGGCGGGTGGTACTGTTTAGCTGGGAGGAGCTGGAGCTATTTTCATCCTCATCCTCCTCTTCCTCTTCAAAGCTCATGCTGCTAGAAACACCTGGGCAGGGCAGAGGAACGGGAAGGGACGAGTGGTCACAGACGCGCCGGACACCCGTTCCGAAGCACTGAGTCACCCGTGCACACACAGGGCCATATGTCCACACATGCGTCCACACACATACATCCAAATATACGGAAGGACACGTCCTCTCGAGGGCATGCATGACCTGAGGCTGGTCACCATCCTTAGGGTGTAACCCCCCCCCACCCAGCTTTCCGCTCAGTCCTCCCATGAGACCCCCCTCTCAGGCAGTCAGTGCCCATCTGCTGGGCAGCGAGGCCTGAGTGGAGCTGACCCTGTGCCGGGAGCCTTCGAGTCTACTGGTGGCCTCGGCTGGCACAGACCATGGAATCTGCTTGGGAGAGGCCCAGCTCCTTCCTCCCCCGGCCTGATGCACGTGGCCCACTGACTCCTCTCCCAGCCTGCCTGTGGCCTTCTGTCTACACATTTCTCCCCACCTGGAATGCTGTCCCCAGCCTCCTGCTGCCTCGATGGCCCTTCCTCCAGGAAGCCAGCCCTGATCTCATTTCTTGGAACGTGTGGCCCTGCCAGGCTTCCTTCTGCCACCCTGTACCAGGGACTCCGTGGGGCGGGGCTCCTGGTGGGGAAACTCTCTGGGCAGCAGGTTTCCTGGGAGGATCTGCCCTGCCTCTGGGCATTCTGGCCTTGCTCCCTGAGCTCAGCAGATGAAGGGGAAACACTTTCAAAAGGACCTTTTTCAAAGGAGGGAAAGGAAATCTGTCTCCAAACCTGGGTCTCCCTGGGGACAGGAGATGGAGGTGGGGAGAGAAGGCTGGGCTGTGGACTGGTTGCCTTCCCTAGTTGATTTCCCTGAACTTGACCTTATCAGGGACCCCTACACCCAAGTTTCTCATTGGTCTCGCACTGTGCCCCCTACCAGGGCCATGCTCCTTAAGAACGGTGCATCTGAGAACCTGGGACTGAGCTTTGGGGGTGTCACTGAACCCCCACAGGGCTCACCCTTCCTCTGCATCGTGGCACGGAGGTCCTGCCCGCTGGGCCGTGTGCCCCCGCCGGCTGCCGTCTCCCCCGCGTCCTGAGCGTGGTCTGACTGGCCCACAGTCAGGATCTGCACCGGGTCTTGGGCCTCAGACTTGTCTTCTGCCAGTGCAGCTGGCCCGCTGGTGCCTGCAGGCCACGTGGGGGGGGGGGGGGGGGGGAGAGCCTGGATTCTCAGACGTCTTTGAAGTGGGTGAGGGATGAGTGGGGGGAACCCTCTGCAAAACTGATTTTTAAAAACACTAATGACTGCTGCCAGCCTCTTAACGATCAACAAGCTACAAAGGGACATGGGCTTCGTTTCTTCTGCTGTTCCCCCAGATTAGTTGCCGAGGGTTGGTCTGAAATGCCTCACATCCCTAGGCAGAAGACAGCCATCTACAAAACCAACTGCACAGTGAAAAAAATAAGATGGAGAACAAGGACCAATCATGACCATGGCCAAGGCCACCACTCGTTCAGACATGGCCACCTCCCAGTCATTAGTGCTGATCTCTCTCTCTCTCACGTGCACACACACACACACACACCCCATAACTCACACACATCATTCAAAACATATGGGGCCCCTTGAAAAACACAGAGGTCGGCTTGCACTCCCCTTCCCAGATGGAAGCTCTCCCATCCCCCGTCACCCTGCCCAAGGTGCCCAAGTAACAGAAGGCCTGGCCCACACAGGTGGCAGTGCCCTGCCCGGCTGAGCTATGCCCCTCAACGCTGCAGTCAGCTCCAAAGCCTATGACCCCGGACACACCACTGTCCAACCACGTCTCAGACGCCTGGGAATCACTGCGCATGCACACGGGTTGGGGACACGGGGTGTCTAGCCAGCGGAGACAGACTCGTGGCAGGAGCCACCGTAACGGTCCTTGATCCCTGGGGATCTTTTCTGGAGAGAGAGGAACCGAGAGAACAGACTGGTCTGTGGGCCCAGAGGGTGGAGTTAGGGCTAGAGGGAGAGTCGTGACAGTCGCGAGTACCGCCCAAGGATGGGGCAGGCTGCCTGGGGCAGGACAGAGGTGGAGGGTGCTCAGGCCAGGTCGGGGAGGGGCTGCCTGGGCTGGACCCAGGCGAGCTGCACTTCACTTCCTGGCAGTGCGGGGAGCCTGCCCATACCCATGGGCAGCCCAGGAACCCCCGTGAGCTAGAGGAAGCCTGAGCACCAGCTGGGTGGGGGCCCGAGTGCCCTTCTGCGCCTTCATGGAGGCCTCGCACCCTGTCCCTTACCTCCAAGTCTGGAGGAGAAGCCTCCCCCCAACCCTCCAGTGGGAGCCAGGCCTCCTGAGGAGGGGCTGTCATGGAGGCAAGCCAACCTTTGTGCTTCCCCTGCTTCTCCTTCCTAGAGGCCCCGCCCTGGCCCCCCGCTGCAGCTGCTGCCTTGGTTCTCTTGGCTGAGGCTGGTGCTGTTGGGCGGGTGGCTCCCAGCTGCGCACTGGTAAGTGAGTCGGCCTCTTGAACTGCTCAGGCGAGAGCCAGAGAGAGAGAGAGAGAGAGAGAAACATGGGCCCTAGGTGAGACCAGAGCTCCAAGTGGAACTCACTTCTCAGCACATTTGCCAGGGCCCCACCACCACCCAAGCCCTGCCAGGGCCTCTGTCCCACCCACCTCTACAAGACAAAGGGGCCGGGGCAGGCCAAACTGGAAGGAAGTGGTTCCTGAAGCCCCATGTGATAGTCAACAGGCTGGCCCACGGCATGATCAACCAAGAAGCACGCAGTCAGAGCTCTGGGCCAGCAAACTGTGTGAGCCTGGGCAGGGCGAGGGAGAGCATCTGGGAGAAAGTGGGTCACTCAAGGTGCTGAAGACAGAAAAGGCTGCATTTCCTAGAAGAGCCCAGAACTCGTAGGGCAAGAACTTCAGGGAGGCTGCACCAGCCCGCGTGGGACAAGCCCATGGGAGCCTGGCACCCAGAGTACCCTGAGCAGGAGGGGAACTCTGGCCTACAAAGAGCTGCACACACCAACAGGGTCACAGCTGGGTGGCCTCCATAGTCTCCACACATCAGAACCCCAACCTGCTCAAAGTCTTTGAATGACTTCTCATCGCTTGTAAGATGAAGACCACCATTCTCCCGAAAGTCTGGCCCCTCCAGCTCCCTTCCACTTGGCCTTGGCCTTCACAGCACACCCCTCATCTCCCGGGCACCCCAAGTCTCAGCCCCACCAGGCGCTTTCAGTGCCTCCCCTCTTGCCACAGGGGCTTTGCTCTACTGTCCCACCGTCTGCACTGTCCTTACTCCGGACGTTGGCCCCCCTGGCCCCAACTAAATTCCCACTCAACCTGTGGATTCCTGCTCAGGCGTCACCTCCTCAGGGAGGCCTTCCCTGGCCCTCGTCTGGGAGCAGTCTCTCTGCCGTTCACTCATAGAGCCTGTTTCTCTCCACCAAGCACACCTGTGACCACCTGTTTAACTCTCTCCCTTCCTAGACCTCCAAGTCCATGAACAGAGAACACGCCTGTTTTGTGCTTCCCCAGGACCCTCAGCCTCTAATCCAGAGCTTGACACAAAGTAAGCGCTCAATAAATATTTAAAAAATGGATATACAACATGGATGAGCATGGTCAGTGAAAAACTGTTCGCTGGGAGAAGCGGTTCTCACTGATGCCAAACCCCCCCCTCAGCCTCTGGAACCGACCCCCTTGTATTTCACACCAAGAGCCAGCAGAGGGCAGAGCAGGCGGGGCTGGAGGGGCCCTCGGAACCAGGGACCCCAGGTCAGCCAGCCGCGCCTCCTCAGGGCTTGGCGCTGGGCAAAGGCACCCTCCCCCACCCCAAGCCTGGGCAGCAGTCTCCGCAGGGAACAGCATTCATGACTGGACCGTGGGACACACTGGCCGCTTCGATTTTTAAAACCCCAAGATACAGGATGTTCCTCAACTTTACGAGGGGAGAAAATAGGGCCGAGACAGAGTAAGTGACTTGCTCACAGCCACAGGTGAGCAGAAACTATCTTCTGACGGGGGTGGGACCCGCTCTCTCCGGAGGGGCTGCAGCCTTTCTGCGGGCCCGGCCCTGCCCCGGGCACACAGTCGGTGCTCAAGAAACACCCGCCAAGGCGACCAAAGCCTCAGGATGCCTGAGCACATGCCAGGGCCCCAGGCTCCAGGTCCCGGCCTCCCTCCACCTGGGCTGGGCGTCGTCCGGACGGGAGAAGCCCCTCGCCCGCCCTGGCCGGCCGAAAGTCCGTGAGGGGCTCCCCGAAGCAGTGCCGGCGGGAGGGGGTCGGGAGGGGGGCGCGAGGCCGCAGCACAGGGCCCTCCCCAGGCTCGCCCCAGGGCAGGCTCTACCTTGGTAGCTGGTGCTGCCGCTGCTGCTGAGGTAGGACTCCACCAGGGGTGCCTGCTCCTCCGACTGCCGGGTCCGCCGGCTCCGGGGCCGCCCGTCCGCGTTGGCCTGCACCATCAGGGGCTCCTGGCGTTTCTTCTTCTGCTTCTGCTCCAGCAGGGCCCGCTGCAGGCACGGGACAGACACAGAAGTCGGCGGGCCCTGAGAGCGCAGCCCGCCGCTTCCACCCGGAGGGCAGGCTCCCAGCTGGGACCAGAGAGAGGGCCCCGATCGCTCAGCTCGGTTCTAGGGGTTGCCAGGGGGTCCACAGCCCACTTTGGGCCGACGCTCCGTGCCCTTGGCACCTGGAGACTCAGGGTCCGGGAAAAGGAGGCACAAGTCAGCCCAGGTGGCCGCCCCGGCAGGACCACGGCACAGATGTCCAGTGCTCCGACTGCAGCCACCAGCTGCTTGCCCGGCAAAAGCCCTGAGCTCTGGGGCAGTGCTGATGCTGAGCTGGTCAAGACAGGGCTCGCCTCTCTTCTGTGAGAGCCTCCTCCCCGCCAGCCAGGGTCACCCCAGGAAGGGAGACAATCCTCGCTCTCCACCCAGGATGGTGAATGCTGACTGCCCGTCCTCCCGGCCCCGGCCCCACTCACCTGCCGGTCCAGCTTCTGCTGCCTCAGGTTGCTGCCCTCATCATCTAAGACACTGCAGAGGGAGACAGGGGCACTCAGGGCCTGCCGGCCGGCTGCCACAACAAGACCCAGAGCCCGCCCCGCACACATCTGGGTTCTTTAAACCCCTCCCGTCAGGACTCCTGGGTACAGAGGAGAGGGGGGAAGGGTGGAGCTACTATCTGGAAACTGGCTCCAGACAAAAAGGTGGGAGCTATATTTTGGCCACTTTAGGAGCGTTCTCCTGCTGGGGTCCCTGCTGACCCAAGGTATTCCTAGTCAGCCTGGCCCCGGTAAGTACAGAAGGAGACATGCCTGAGATCCAGGGGAACCTGCCCAGAGGCGTCAGGTGCAAGCCAGGCCCAAGGCTGGGCTTCAGACCCAGGCGCCTGTTGGCTCCAAGTCCCTCTCGGATCTCACCAGCTCTTCCTGTCTTTCTGTCCTTCCTAGAGGAGGCTGGATCCTTTGTGGCAGACTCTTTCCTCTTCTATTCAAACTCCTGGCTCTCCAGGTGGCAGAATGGAGGTGCTGCCCACCCCCTCCCCTCTTAAAGAAGGCTGAGGGTCCCCTCATTTGGGAGAGTGAAGCTAAAAGACCAACCAGCCCCTGAGGGCAGGGCTAGGGCTGGGTGGGGATATCTGCAGGCAGACACAGCCCAGCAACCAGCCAACATGGCGCAGGGGGCACCAGGGCATCAAATCCTTGAGTCCCTAAGGTCTTGGAACGGGCAATGTCAACTCACATAGGCTGGGCTTGCCTCCCAGGAAGACAAGCATAATTAGGGAGCTCCAACCACTTAGCATTCCTTCTAGTCCAAGATACATCCGTTAGCCCTAGCCCCAAATTCTATAAAAGCCAAGGTTAGGGGGTAGTAGGGCTGGCGTCTGAGGACCTGAGCCCTGGGAACCCCCAGACAACCCTGGCCCAGTGATGCTAGAGCCTGCCCCTGAACCAGACCTTGAGCGGGTCCCTGCACAGGCATGCCTGAGTGCATCAGGTTTGTATGCGAAGCTCTAAGTATACGTCGTGCGTGTGCACACACCAGGGGGTGTCCACATATACGAGCACATCTACAAGTGTGAGCACACACCGCACAGCTGTGCAGATGAGCGCCTGCGTAAGAAGTGGGTGTGCTTGTGTGCAGGTGAGCACAGTACGCATGTAAGGAGGGAAGGTGAGGGCGAGTCACCCCGAAGACAAGCTGCAACCAGAGCCACCTCCTCCTGACGACAGGAGCTCTTCTACCGGCAACAGTCATCGACCGGCAGTGTCCCTTCGGCTCATCCAAACTACCCGTGTGTCCGTGTGCCGGGGGGCCCGGCCAAGGGTGTGGCAGGAAGCGCACGGAGTCCACAGCCCACCGCCCACCTCTGGCTCTCCCCGCCCACCTCCCCGGCCACAACCTAAGACAACTGCCGGTTTTAACTGGTAGCTGTCCTCCTTACTTGAAGGCCTTTCCTGACACCCAGGGGCCGCCCTGCACTCAAGAGGAGCCCCAACTGTGCTGAGTCTGGTCGCAGCCTTATTCTCCAAAAGCCTTGGCTGCCAGAACACAAGGGAAGACACTACTAAACAGACGTGCTTCTCAGTCAAGGCCTCAGTCCACCTAGAATCGCCCACAGCTGCACGTGGGACTCCCTGAGGGCACTGCCAGGACCAGGCGACAGGGACCCGGCTCCTAAAACCTCAAGCTGGCTGGCACAGGGAGTGCCATCCGAGAAAGCAGGCACCCCAGGCCGGAGGGCAGCAGCGAGAGTTCTGAAGGAAGGATGCGTTTATTTGGGTGAGCAAGGTGCCTGGGGGCCCCGCCAGGTCTGAGAGGCTACCCCTCTGCCGCTGGCCTCTCCACCTTAAGTCAGTGGCCTGACTGAAAAATGCCGAGGCCACGCATCCGCTCCCACAGACTTCAAGGGCTCAGTCCACAGACGCCACGGTCCACCGGGGTCTGCGGCATGAGCAGCGCGGATTCCTTACAAACCAGCGGGAGATGAATGGAAAGGGCACTCTGGACTCCACGTGGCACCGGCTGATGGCAACAACGGGGCCTGAAGTCCAGCCGCGCTCTGCCTGCCAAGCTCTGTACCTGGGTCCACGCGGGGCAGCCCGTCATCTCAGTCATGCTAGTGGCCTGGCCACAGGAGCCCACGTCGCCTCCACGAGACCGCTGGCTCTGAGTCCTGGGGCAGGAGGCAGCTTCGTGGCCCCCTGGCATGGCGCAAGGCCCCTGCACTTTCGTAGGGCAGGGCCAGGGACAGCCAGGTCGTCCGGGGACTGAGCTTGGGGAGCAGGGCAAAGCCCCGCCCTCTGTGGTGCTGACGCAAACATCTAGGGTCATTCAGAAAAGGGGACATCGGCCGCGTTAAGCTGACACAAGCAAAGCCACCTCCAGAGGCGCCGGGTCACAGCGGCAACTCGACGGACAAGGGTGGCTCTGGTGTCCCTATCCGTGCGGGCGGGGGGGGCCGCACATCCCTAGTGCAGGCTACCGTCCCACTGCCCGGACTCTCCACAGGTCACGCGCGGGCAAGGAGGCTGCTTTCCTCCTCCTCCGGGCCCACCTCCATTCCCTGATGGGGCAGAAAGAGCCAGAGCCGCAGGCCTTAGTACCGCCGGTCACCTGGCAGGACTACAGGTGGAACGGACTTCAGGACCGGCCCTCACAGAAAGATGGATGAAAAGGGGTAAGCTTCTGAAGAGATTCCAGAAACTCGGACAGCCTGGAAGTGCCTGGAGAGCCACGCCCCACCTCCCCGGCCACCCCGCTGGGCACACTGGAGTGGCGTCGCCGCCCCCCCGCCCCGGCCTGTGCAGGGGCGCGGCTGGGGGAAGCCACGTGCGCCCGGCCAGGGGTGAGGAAGAACGTGCCTGGCTGCGCACGAGCCCCCCGGGAGGGCCGGCAATCCACGCAGCTCCGAGCGGTGGCTCCAAGAGTGGGCGACGGCGCGTCCAGGAAAGCAGATTCCTGCCAGGGCCCTGTTTCTAGGAAAGCGGATCACGGGCCCCCGGCAGGGACGAGCCCGGACCGCCTGACAGCAGTGTGTCTGAGGCGCATATCGGCCCCGATGGAGAACAAATCCCCGCAAGCCCCGGCGGCTGCTGAGAACCACGGCAACAACGGGGGCTGTGTCCAGGGAGTGGAAGGAAACCCCTCTCCCGTCCCGGGCAGGCCCCGCCCCCGCCCCCAGCCCCACCCCTCCAGGCAGCTCCCACCAGGGCTCCTTCCTTCCTGTCCCGCCGCCACTCCCTGGCCTGCCTCTACCCAGTGGGCACTGTTCTGGGCAACACTAAATGATAACCACAGAGGAGAAAGTAATGGCTTTTTAACAACTCGGGCTCCAATTACGGAATCGCTGCCAAGCCCGGGCTGGCAGCTGCGGCCCCGCCAGGAGCCTCGGAAAGGAGACAGGGCACTGATGGATGGGTCCTCCAGCTGACCCTGGCGGCTCCTTCATCACGGTCGCCTCCTGCTGGGGACCAGACCAGGGAGATCCAGGAACGCACCGGCCACTGGCTCCTGAGGGTCGGAGAAACCCAGTCGGCCGTGTCCACCAATCCCCCCATTCTGCCCAGGGCCAACGAAGTGGCCCTTCGCCTCCCAGGGAGACAGCCCCTCCATATCTTGCCTCCCCCGAGCTGCCCAACAGGTATCTGGAGAGAAAACCATGCTTCATAACGAATGAGAGGAGGGGCACTGCTCCCAGGGGATGGAACAGCCAGCTGTGGACAACACATTTAGGAAGCCGGGGCCCTGCCTCTCTTTAGACTCCACCCCCTGCATGCTCAGCTAACCCACCAGAGCAGACCAGAGCCCTGGGGGCCAGGCTACCTAGGGACAGGCCCGTACTCCACGCCCAATTCACTCTCCCCTTTTATGCCCACATTCCTTCCACTCAGGCACAGCGGAAGCTGCCCCTGCTGGACCCAGGGAGACAGAGGAGTAAAGACCACGCAGGGGGCCAGGCTGCAAGCCCTGTACCTGTGCCAGACTTCCCCACCCCCACCCCAGCACGCCCAGATCTGCCCCTAGTGGCTGCCTGGAACACTAGGAAACACAGTACGAGTGGGAACAGGGGCACCCCAAAAGGGAGAAGCCCACAGGGCTCACAGGAGTCCCAGTCTCCCAGGATGGGCCCTCCCCATTCCTGCCGTGGGCTCCCAAACTTAGCACATCATTAAAACATTCGGCCCTGACTTGGTGATTCAGAACTGTTGGGGAAGTTAGCCCAGAATCAATCCCTCACCTCATTTTCTCTTTTAACGCAAGAAACATAGGTGATTTTAATGTTCAGTCATGCAAATGAGGGCCATGAGCCACAGCTGGTGATCTCTAAAGAACAAAAAAGAAATCCCAGAGTTGCTCAAAGTATGCAAATGCAGCCTTCTGCTCAGATGGGGGAAGAAATCGTAGTCTGTAGATCCATCAGTCTTACACAGGCCCCAGGTAAGATCATGGGACAGATTCACTGAAGAGCTAGAAGACCTAGCGATCAGCAGGACTGAGCCCAGTCGGCCAGCAAGTCAGGGCACATGCCCCCAGACCTACCCGGGAAAATGGGAGGGCAGCACAGCCAGGCTGCCGCATGGAATCGCAAGGATCAGTGACAGTCACTAGTGGGCAAGATAAAGCAATGTGAGTGGCATGCTCCTCCAAAGAGACAGGGTTTTGCGACAATAAAGCATGCCATAAGCAGAGGTTTCCAGCATCCTGCTTCCCTTGCTTGGCATGTTTACTGATGACCTAAAGACAAGGCAGGCCTCACAGCAGACTTATAGGTGACACAAAGTCGAAGTGATACTAAACTGTTCATTAAGACAATAGGACTTCAGAAGACACCGGAGAGCTTGCAGAGTCTAACCAAAGGAAACCTAACAGGAGAAAGTCATGTCTTACATGTGGGTCCCCAAACCCAGGTCTGCCCCACACAGGCAGAATGGGGGACACAGGGCTTGACATCAGCCTGATGAGACTTTGGAGTTCTGTTTACAGAGGCCTCAAGGTGACGAGTCAGTGAGCCAAAGCTGTCCCCCATGACA